AATGTAGCAAGGAGGAATTTATTCAAGCTCCAAAAGACAATATAGATCTAATAAGCAGTGATAAAGGTGAGCATTTCTTTTATGATGAAGATAAACTGACAGCAGCAAAATGAGTGAAATACTGAAGTCGTAGTATGAACGTATTCAAGTGAGACGAACGAATTCTTCACCATCGAGATTAAAAGCCTAGTAACTTCAAAATTTCTCATGTAACCCTAACCCCCACCTGATTTTGAGAAGCCATTGACGTGTCCCTGCACTCTGCCATAGGACCAAACTCCATGTTCATCAAGAACTGTATAAAACCCCTTTCACGTGCCTTAAATATTCTATAAGAATGTGTGTAGACACGGGAGTCATTCCACCGTCATTAAATAAACAAATACGGTATAGCCCCGCTCCACAAGATGGCAGCAAAGCAGTAGCAAAGAACTGTTGACCGTTAGCACTAACATCTAACATTATAGAAATCTTTGAAAAGAGCTTTAAAAAGCACGATCGCAAAACACTTTAATTCACAAGAGTTGCGCAACGCAGAGTAGCATGCGTTTAGAGCAGGTCACTCCTGCCTCTCACAACTACTGGACCACTATATGGTTTTGGATGTACTGGAGGACAAACAAAAGACTAATGTAGTATACTCGGTTTGCAAAACACTTCGACAAGTGCGAAAAATGTGTAATAAAAAAACGATGCAAAAGGACTTTAATTTACAAGAGTATTGCGCAAAACGGAGTATAGTCATGACGTAGAGAGAGGTCCACTGAGTCTGTCCAAATAATATACCACCATCTTTTTTCATCTTACTTGAGGGACAAAAATAGCAACATATATCTCAGTGTACAAAACTTCGCAAGTGGCGAAAAATGGTGAATGTGCCATCGACAAAAAATTATTGAAAAACTGGTAATACAATGTAGAACATATAATAAACGGGAACGTCTAAAGTAAGAAAAACAGTGAAAGTTTAGGTGATAGTGAGAAGATCTGTTTCGCAAAACATAATATTCACACAGTCAGATCACATACTTATCCATCGATCCACTATGACACACATAGCATGGACATCACAAATCATTGATCACAACATATCATGTCAATGCTAGTATGACAAAGAGTATCATGACACAACAGTATAATCACAAGTGATCATGATCACAACAGTATCATGATCACAAAGTATATGATACAACAGTAGAATGAATCTAAACAGTAGCATGAACAACATACATGATCACAACAGTACATGACACAACAGTAGCTGATCACAACAGTAGCATGTGTCACAAAGTATCATCACAACATGCATGATCACAACAGTATCATGATCACATGATCATGATCACAAGAGTATCATGATCACAACAGTATCATGATCACAAAGTATCATGATCACAACAGTAGCATGATCACAACAGTATCATGATCACAACAGTATCATGATCACAACAGTATCATGATCACAACAGTATCATGATCACAAGAGTATCATGATCACAACAGTATCATGATCACAACAGTATCATGATCACAACAGTATCATGATCACAACAGTATCATGATCACAACAGTAGCATGATCACAACAGTAGCATGATCACAACAGTATCATCACAACAGTAGCATGATCACAACAGTATCATGATCACAACAGTATCATGATCACAACAGTATCATGATCACAACAGTATCATGATCACAACAGTAGCATGATCACAACAGTAGCATGATCACAACAGTATCATGCTCACAACAGTAGCATGATCACAACAGTATCATCACAACAGTAGCATGATCACAACAGTAGCATGATCACAACAGTATCATCACAACAGTAGCATGATCACAACAGTATCATGATCACAAGAGTATCATGATCACAAGAGTATCATGATCACAACAGTATCATGATCACAACAGTATCATGATCACAACAGTATCATGATCACAAGCAGTACATGATCACAACAGTATCATGATCACAACAGTATCATGATCACAACAGTATCATGATCACAACAGTATCATGATCACAACAGTATCATGATCACAACAGTATCATGATCACAACAGTATCATGATCACAACAGTATCATGATCACAACAGTATCATGATCACAACAGTATCATGATCACAACAGTATCATGATCAACAGTATCATGCATCACATGCAGTATCATGATCACAAAGTATCATGATCACAACAGTATCATGATCACAACAGTATCATGATCACAACAGTATCATGATCACAACAGTATTCATGATCACAACAGTATCATGATCACAACAGTATCATGATCACAACAGTATCATGATCACAACAGTATCATGATCACAACAGTATCATGATCACAACAGTATCATGATCACAACAGTATCATGATCACAACAGTATCATGATCACAACAGTATCATGATCACAACAGTATCATGATCACAACAGTAATGCATGGCACAACAGTAGCATGATCACAACAGTATCATGATCACAACAGTATCATGATCACAACAGTATCATGATCACAACAGTATCATGATCACAACAGTATCATGATCACAACAGTATCATGATCACAACAGTATCATGATCACAGTATCATGGGCACAACAGTATCATGGGCACAACAGTAGCATGAGCACAACAGTAGCATGAGCACAACAGTATCATGATCACAACAGTATCATGATCACAACAGTATCATGATCACAACAGTATCATGATCACAACAGTATCATGATCACAACAGTATCATGATCACAACAGTATCATGATCACAACAGTATCATGATCACAACAGTATCATGATCACAACAGTAGCATGAGCACAACAGTAGCATGAGCACAACAGTAGAATGAGCACAACAGTTGCAGTATCTCAGCAACAGTATCACAACCGTGAGAAAAAAAAAGATAAGATAGATTATGAGAACCTTTAAAACAGTTGCCTAACCAAGCACCTAAACTGCTCTACAATCCCACCATCCTCCAACAATCATCTGATCAACCTCCCAAACCCCCAATCCCCCTCCCATAATCATTCTACTCCTAACTCACTTCCACTCCTTCCCCTCCTAGAGATAAAGCCTCATCTCCCGTCCTACAAACCCCCTTGCCGATGATAATCCCCCCTCACCCACCCCTCCCGCACTTCCCTCACCACCCCTTCCCGCACTTCCCCCGTCCACTCCTTCACCCCCCGACCAACATCCACCCTCCCTTGAACAACACTCATCATTTCCCTTTCAGTATCCACTCTTCCACATCCAACACTCACCCTACACTTCCTCTAACCAACAATCACCCTCCTCTAACAAGGACCCATCATCTCACATTCACCCTTCCCTTGCCCAACACTCAGCTCCCCTCTCACCACAACCCAACAGTTCCCCCCCTCACTACAATTCAACAGTTCCCCCCCACCACCACAAACAACAGTTTCCCCCCTCACCACAATTCAACAGTTCCGCCCCCCCCCCACCGCAACCTAGCAGTTCCCTCTCCACAATTCAACAGTTCCCCCTCATCCAAATCAACAGTTCCCCCTCACCACAACCCAACAGTTCTCCATCACCACAACCTAACGGTTCCCTCCTCAATACCACCCATCAGTTCCCCACTCTCCACAACCCATCGGCTCCCTACTCATCACAACCCAACAGCTCCCACTCATCACAACCCAACAGCTCCCTACTCATCACAACCCAACAGCTCCCTACTCATCACAACCCAACAGCTCCCCATTCACCACAACCCATCAGCTCCCCATTCACCACAACCCATCAGCTCCCCATTCACCACAACCCATCAGCTCCCCATTCACCACAACCCATCAGCTCCCCATTCACCACAACCCAACTTCTCCCCACTCTCCACAACCCATCATCTCCCCACTCTCCACAATCCATCAGCTCCCCATTCACAAACCCATCAGCTCCCATTCACCACAACCCATCAGCTCCCCATTCACCACAACCCATCAGCTCCCCATTCACCACAACCCACAGCTCCCCATTCACCACAACCCATCAGCTCCCCACTCTCCACAACCCATCAGCTCACACAACCCAACTTTCCCACTTCCACAACCCATCATCTCCCCACTCTCCACAACCCATCATCTCCCCACTCTCCACAACCCATCATCTCCCCACTCTCCACAACCATCACTCCCCACTCTCCACAACCCATCACTCCCATTCCCACAACCCAATCGCTCCCCACTCTCCACAACCCATCAGCTCCCCACTCTCCACAACCCATCAGCTCCCCACTCTCCACAACCCATCAGCTCCCCACTCTCCACAACCCATCAGCTCTCCACCCACCGTTCTGATTGAGACACTTACGCAGAATATGGGAATCTTTATTTAGGAAATGTTTCGCCACACAGTGGCTTCACCAGTCCAATACAAAGCAGAATGGTGTAAGGAGAGGAGTAGTTTGAGGTAATCAGTCCCTCAGTCTGGAGTCGATGTGTTCAGTCCATCAGTCATGTAGAAAGTACAGCACAGGGCCGCAGACGTGGCTTATATACTGTAGTCAGGTGAGGCGAAGATTCCCATATGTTGCATAAGTGTCTCAATCTTCAACTTGTCGGTTTTCAAACCATTCATCACAACTGTCAGACACTGCAGCATCATGGGATCTTGACACAAAGAATTCTTCAAACTTGTCCAACCTTTGGACGAAGACCTACTTCGACTAGTGGATGGTACCACTATGACCCCGCCTCCTCCTGCTTCGCCTCACCTGACTACAGTATATAAGCCACGTCTACAGCCCTATGCTGTACATTCTACAAGATTGATGGACTGAACACATCGACTCCAGGCTGAGGGACTGATTACTTCAAACTCCTCTCCTTACACCTTTCTGCTTTGTATTGGACTGATGAAGCCACTGTGTGGCGAAACGTTTCCTAAATAAAGATTCCCATATGTTGCATAAGTGCCTCAATCTTCAACTTGTCGGTTTTCAAACCATTCATCACACTCACCGTTCTGTTGCCAATGTTCTTAACTCTGCAGTTCAGTATAGCGGTCTTGCCCATGAGAGCTGTGACGTTGGCAGACTCTTCTGTGTCGAAGAATGGAATGTCTGTGTCGTACATCTGACCCTCTGTGAGCAGCAGGTCGTCTGTTGTACCCTCACCCACCTCCTGCTGCACCAGCTCTGTGAGGAAGAGTGGATGAATGAGTAACTGGTCCTCTGTGGTCTCCCTGGCCCACCACCAGCTTTTGTAGTAGTAATAGTTATAATATTGGCGATAGTTATAATAATGATTGTGATATTCGTGGTGATAGTAGGGATAATGACGGTGGTGGTGGTGATGGCTGTGGTGGTGTGATGGTGGTGCAAATGACACTGGTAGTTGTTCATAGGAAAGCAGTGATGGTGATAGTTATGGTGGTGGTAACTTTGACGATTTTTGTTGTTTTAGTTGTGTTAATAATGATTGAGTGGAGGGGTTTGTCTTGGTGGTGGGATCCCAACCATCACCACCACCTCTACTAACACCACTACCACCACCACTACCACCACCACTACCACCACCACTACCAGCACCACTACCACCAATACCACAACCACCATGATATTCTTTGACACACACACACACACACACACACACACACACACACACACACACACAATCTTCAACACGTCTATCGAAACAGGGCTACTACCTAAGGTATGAAAGACAGCAAATTTAGTCCCAATTTTTAAAAAGCGTTGACAGACATGCAGCATTAAACTACAGACCAGTGTCACTGACATGTATAGTATGCAGAGTCATGAAGATTATCAGAAGAGTGGTGGACCACCTAGAAAGAAATGGAATTATAAACGACAACCAGCACGGATTCGGAAACGGGAAAGCCTGTGTCACAAACCTACTAGAGTTCTATGAATGTAAGAAGGCTTTTGACACCGTTTCACACAAGAGATTAGTGTAAAAGCTGGAGGACAAGGCTGGTATAACATGGAAGGAACTGCAATGGATCAGAGAATACTTGACGGGAAGGCAGCAGCGAGTCATGGTACGTGATGAGGTGTCAGACTGGGCTCCTGTGACGAGCGGGGTGCCGCAGGGGTCAGTCCTAGGAGCGGTGCTCTTTTTGGTATATGTGAATGACATGGCAGAAGGAGTTGACTCAGAAGTGTCCCTGTTTGCAGATGATGTGAAGTTAATGATGAGAATTCGGTCAGAGGAGGATAAAGCAGGGTTACAGAGGAATCTGGACAGGCTGCAGGCCTGGTCCAGCAACTGACTTCTGGAGTTCAACCCCAACAAGTGCAAAGTCAAGGAAAAGGATCTTGGAGTGTGTATAATACCGAGCACATCTCCTGAGGCGCACATCAACCAAATAACTGCTGCAGCATATGGGCGCCTAGCGAACCTAAGAATAGCATTCAGATACCTCAGTAAGGAATCCTTCCGCAGCACCAGTTTGGAATCCACACCTAGCCAAGCACGTCAGGAAAGTAGAGAAAGTACAAAGGTTTGCAAGAGACTAGTCCCGGAGCTAAGGGACAGGGCGGATATGATAACGACGTATAAAATACTGAGAGGAATCGATAGGGTGAACACAGATGTTAGTAAGTATTTCATCCTTCACATAGTCATCACTAAGTGGAATAGTCTGGAAAGTGAGGTAGTGAAGTTAGGTACCATACATAGCTTTAAGAATAGGTATGACAAAGCTCATGAAGCAGGGAGAGAGTGACCAAGTAGCGACCAGTGAAGAAGCGGGGTGAGGAGCTATGAATCGACCCCAGCAACCACAATTAGGTGAGTACAATTAGGTGAGTACACTGTAGTAGCGAGTAGCGAAGAAGAGGTGCCAGGAGCGGTGACTTTAACCCTACAACCGAAAAATACGTGAGTAAACACACACACACACACACACACACACACATACATATACATACATACATCACATCACATCACATCACATCACATCACATCACATCACATCACCAGACGTAAGGCACCAGCACACATTTTGTGTCTCGTGTCAACATTACTCTCCCCTCAAAAACATGTACTTCAATTTTCAATACTGTAACACATACCTGAACAAACGACGTGCTATAATATATATATGCATAATAACCGTATACAAAAAAACCTCTCTGCCAGAATTGCAGGCTTGGCAAAAACTTTGTAAATATATATAATACAAATATTGTTAAAATCATGGGAGGAAGTAGATGTGACTAACAACTATAAGAGTGCTACTGCTATAGCTGCTGCCACTGCTGCTGTTGCTGTTACAGCTGCTGCTTCGGTTTCTGTTACAGCTGCTGTTGCTGTTACAGCTTCTGTTGCTGCTACACCTGCTGCTTCTGTTTGTTACAGCTGCTGTTGATGCTACAGCTGCTGCTACTGCAGCTAGTGTTTCTGCTGCTCCAACAGGTGATCCTGTTGTTGGCAACAAAAGCAATTAACTTACATTCAGTATTCATGAAAGCAAAAAACAAAATATCACCGGGATAAGAGAAAGTACAATAAATTTATTTATATCTCCGTATCAGAAATTACAGAAAATAAGGCATCACATAAATTCTTCAGGTCTTCGTAAGGACGTCTCGGTGGTACATAAATTCCTCTTAAACTTTTATGGTATACTTTATATTATACCAATGTTAATGAATTACACAAGCCTAATACTTAACTAATATTACTCCTGTAATCTTGAATCCGAACTTAACAAGTTGGATTAAGTTCACACGTAACTAATAATAAAACAATTTCCTTCATTGGACTCGATGAAGCTGTGTCCTTATTTTAAGTACATAGTATAAGTCGCAAAACACCCGTGTGAGTACAAGTGCACTCTGGAGCATAGGCACTTTGACTCCCTCTGGTTTGAGAAAGTTTAAGACCACAAGTAACATAGACAGTCAGCCTTCAAAATGACAGAATATGGCAGTCCACAAGCACACTTTAGACTGTGAAATAATGGAAAAAATCCCTTACAACAGAAGTGCTCGTACCTGACCGAGTCCTTTATATTATTCGCAAAATCTTCACAAGAGTTTTGAGGTTATGAGTCGTGAATAATTATTCACCATGGGGAAGTAGAAAAGAATTCTTCCTCCGTAAGCCAGGCGTGTCGTAAGAGGCGATTAAAATGCCGGGAGCAAGGGGCTAGTAACCCCTTCTAATGGATAAATTACTAAATTTAAAAAGAAAAACTTTTCTTTTTCTTTTTAGGTCACCCCTCCTTGGTGGGATATGGCCGGTGTGCTGAATAATAATAATAAAAATAATAATAATAATAATAATAATAAATAAAAAGCTAGTTGAAATGTTGGAATGCGTATTTTATTGGAAGTATTTGAGGGTTCGGGGTAACGCCCGCGCGGTCTGTGACGGCTCCTTAGGTCATTCAGATGACCCAACCAGTGACTAACACCCAGGTACCCATTTTTAATGATGGGAACATAGACAACAGGTGAAAGAAAAGTCCAATGTTTCTACTAGGATGGATCGAACAGCCTCACCGTGTGAAGAGACTTAACACACACAGTTTTGCTTAACTTTTTTAGATATAAGTTGCTTTTGACTGGCTTAACCCTGATTTCATTATGAATGCACATACTAACAGTTCATTGGTAGCTTATAGATATAAATATCAGAAAATTACGAATGGTGGGCTTCAACCATCAAGCGAATCAAAACTAAGTGTGGATTTTATAGTTCCGTGTTTTTTTTTCAGTCTTATTACGATTTCGTGAGTCGTGATGGCGGCTTTCAAAAAAATCAGACAAAAAGGAGATTAATGTAAAATTCTTAGGGATTTGATCTCGCACTAAATTACAACTGCGTAATGAAGTTGATAAAGTAGTCAGAGAAACTACCCTGAATAAATAGGTAGAATATAGTTTAGTTATACCTGTGTCAAGCATGAGGAATACTGGTAGAAGTAAACAGTATATTTGCATGCCATAGAATTTCAGTTAGAAGCCTCAGTTGATCTATAACTCTAACACGATAAGCATATTTACGTAAAGGAACAACTAGCCAGGCTTAGTCTTGGATAAAATTACTTCTGACACTTTTGCATATACCTGCCTACCTACCTGGAGAGAGTTTAGGAGGTCAACGCCCTCTCAACCCGGTCCATGACCAGGCGTCACGGTGGACAAGGTCTTGATCAACCACAGCCCGCCTGGTCAGGCGCTGACTTTACCAACTCACGCACAGATGGTCAAATATTCGGTAAGCCTTATGATTACATTCTTGAACACAGTGTGCTCGATTATTAACTTATTGAAGAATAAGTTGATATCTCAAGGTATTTTATTAATGAAAATTAGTTACCAGAATATTAAGAAAATGTTTTAAGTTTCCTTTGAAGAGACAGGACAAACTGAAGATATAAATCCTGATGCACTCATGTTAGCCGTTTCGGGGCCTAGCAACTTGGCCCCAAAAGGGTTGTAGTTGCTAGGCTTTTATGTATCCATGGGTTCTTGCTAATACGGTCCAGAGAAAATATATGGGGAGCACAATGAACCAGCAACTTGTGGCAAAAGCTATTTTTTGTGTTTATACACTATGAGATGATCTTGTACTAATAGGATATACATATTTAAAAAAGTTTGACACCCTCAAAACCGCTGTCAGTCTCCAGAGACTGAGATACCAGAAGCTGCTGCTGATAACACTCAGGCATTACAAGATTAGTTTTAAAAATCTATTCCAGAAGACACACACACACACACAAATCAGGAGGAAAACAGCAGTCAAGGACCAGGTAATCAGGCTAAGGAAGGAAGGAGGAGAGACAACAAGAAATAACCGTGAAGTATGTGAGGAACGCAACAAGAGATTCAAAGAAGTGTTCACAGAGGAGACAGAAGGGGCTCTAGAAAGACGGAGAGGTGGGGTACACCACCAAGTGCTGGACACAGTACACACAACCGAGGAAGAAGTGAAGAGGCTTCTGAGTGAGCTAGATACCTCAAAGGCAATGGGTCCGGATAACATCTCTCCATTTGTCCTGAGAGAGGGAGCAGAGGCGGTATGTGTGCTCCCTAACAACAATATTCAATACATCTATCGAAACAGGGAGAATGCCTAAGGCATGGAAGACAGCAAATGTAGTCCCAATCTTTAAAAAAAAGGAGACAGACATGAAGCACTAAACTACAGACCAGTGTGA